CAGCAGTGCAAGACAAATACATTCTTTAAAAATCATACAATGTGATTTCCTGAAATTTTTTTTTAATTCTGTCTCTCAGAGTGGGAATGCACCTACAATGTGAATTTCAGATCCCTCCATGATTTCTAAGTGGGAGAACTTGCAAAATCGCAGGGTGTTCAAATACGTCTGTTCCTCACTGTACGTGTTATTAATTTTTAACCATCCAGCTGCAGCCTTATAGCTTTGTTTCTGTGAGACACAAAACATTTGCCAGACAATTCATGATGACTCTTCATGTCACCAACATGAGACGGCAGTCCTTCTGTGTTATGGTGAACGATGGTCAGAGTGTACGGTCTGCTCAGTGTTTGTCTGATCTGAAGAAGCAGCATCATGTCATCCATGCTGGCTTGTCTCATGGTCTCCAGGGCTGATGTGATCTCTGGATTCAAATAAAATCATGTCTCATCCATGCCCAGTTGGTGCAGTCCACTAAGGGAGGTCACTCTGCTGATAGCTATGTAAGCCATGCCATGTTCAAAAATGTGCTTCAGTGAAACTACAGCTGATGATGTTGTCATTCTCTGAACCTTTTGGATTGTACCACTCCTCTGTTTCAGGTTGTGTGCTCTTTCTATGTACACTAGATTGTCAGCTGCACCTGATGTTCTGCAATAACTGTTCCATCCAGCTGTTTCATTGTCCAAGCTTAGTGACATGTGCACAATCATTCTGTTCATCTCATCCTTCAGCTGTTTCAACAAAGAACTTCACCCATTTCTTCTCATCATTCAGCTGTTTCAGCAATTGATTTCAGGCATTTTCAGGGTGATCCTCATGATGTTTCATTTCAATAGCCACACTGTAGTAGTCCTCAGGGTGTAAGACTACTCTCTCTCTCACACACATACACCCCTACTTGTTTTTCTTACTGTGTGCACGCACACACACGTGTTTTGTTTTCCCTACTTTGTGAGGCCTGCTGACACACAACTCCAGCTTTCGATTTCATCTCACATACAATAATTACTGAACTTTTCCTCTTTCATAATTATTCAACATTTTTCAACTTCCACAATTGTCCAGCATTGCATCTCATCCTTCAGCTATTTCAACAAAGAACTTCAGACATTTCTTCTCAGCCTTCAACTATTTCAAGAAAGAACTTCAGCCATTTCTTCTCATCCTTCAACTCTCTCAGCAACTGATTTCAGGCCTTTTCAGGCCGAGCCTTCAGCATATCAGCATCCACACGCATTTTTGACAGGAAATGCATTTCTCTAGTTTTTTTGTTCTTTTTACAGCAATAAGCTTTTGAAAAGACTAAATCAAATACTCAAGACAAGTCTCTTGGTAACAAAATGCAATATTGAGGCATAGTATAGTTATGTATAGCTCTTTTCCTTGTCTCTTCTGAATGTGTCTGCATGAACTCATACAGACTTAGTCCTCTTTTCTTCCGTGTAGCCTTAATTTCCCTGACAACCCTGTTAAACAAAGAATAGAGATTAAACAGCAATACATATAATTGGGTGAAGCTGTGTGTGTGTGTTCCCATCCTTACAGAGCTGGGACGTTTGCGTTTCCAGCAGTCTGGGTTGAGTCTTTTCTGTTCATCAGCGAGGACTTTGGCCTGTAGGATGAACGTCCGACGCTCCTCATTTCGCATTTTCTTCCAGCGCTCACCAAGGAGGACACTGATTGCTCTACATTCACACACACCACATACATTACCATTTAACAAATACACAGTGCACAATATACTATATATCACAGAGCACACGTACCTGTTGTCCTTGCCTGGGTACATCTGTGTGTACTCCACCCTGAACTTCTTAGCAAACAGCATGAAAGCATTCATTGGCCGCTTGCATTTAGTGGGTGTGGCATTATTACCTCCTGATGCGCTGGCATTCTGGCCTTTGGTTGGCTTTTGATGAGCAAAGTGGGCATGGCTGGGACTATGCACGTCTGTAGGTTTTAAACAAGATTTGAGGGTGTTTTTGAAAAGTCCCTTCAAAACCCTAAACCAGAATACTGAATGTTGCATTAATATTTTTGAGCTTTTGAATATGTTTTGTATTTTGAAAAGTAGAGATCTGGAGGTATGCCAAGTCAATCCTAAAGATTAGTATCTAGGCTGATCTAGGCATATTTGAAAGGAGCCATACTGGCTAAACTGAAACCAATCAAATGCTGATCCTTCTTCACTTTTACTCTTTTGCTGCAGTTCTTAAACTATGAGTCTACTTCTCTCTCCTCTCTGCTGGAGTGCTGTGGATGAGCTGCCCACAGACACAGAGTGGAAGAGAGCAGAATGGTATGCTTCAAGCCTTTATACTAAGCTAAGCTAACCAGCTGTTGGCTGTAGCTCATTTACATCTTTAACAAGCAAACATCTAAGTGGTACTAAGATAGCATGAACACAAATTAAGGGCATCTCCTAAAAGTCAGACTATTCCTTTGATGTTTTCTGATTAGTCACACTGGATTATATCAGAACAGTTCCACTTTCATTCTAAATGCTAAAGCTAAACAGTTAATAAAATTGTTTATGTGGGATGTTTGTTCAGTACCTTCTAAGGTGTCTCTGTCTGGAGAAATGGCTCCACTGCTAGACTGGAAGGCATGCCGCCGTCTAGCCATGCTGCTCAAGACGTAAACCGCAGAGGAGTCCAGAGGAGTGAAATCATAACTGCAGAAAACACGCTTTTAAAAAGAAGTCTTTTATACACACTATCCAATTTATACAGAATATTTACAAGTATTATATTGGAATCATTACTGTTCAGTGTTATTCCACAAGTGTACATTTTACCTCCTGAATGTGTCTAATACCAGTGAGTCGTCAGTGTGTTTGGCATCTCTGTGTCCTGGAGGCAGGCAAATATCTCCTACTTCCATTTCATAGCATGGTATCCCATAATGCACTACAGTCATGCTTGGGTAAAATGATGACCACCCTGACAGAAAGGACAGGCGTGTTATGTGTTAAGTCAATATTGCTGTTTGAGAAGTTTCAGTGTTTTCTCAACAATCTTACCTTTGTTTTTGATGTAGAAAGGATGGTCAAGTTGGCACAGCGCAGTCATGAGGGCATGCCCGAATGACCCAGGGTCAAAGGTCAGTTGTAGGACAGCCTGACCAGACAACATGATGTCTGAATATTCAACCAGCTGCAGACCTTCAGAGCCATAACTCTGAAAAAGAGCAAGATCTTTTACTCAGTATGTACTGAAAAAAGCCCTACTTACTAAAATGTTATTCTGTAACAGTAGCTAGATTGCTATTGCTGCTATAATTTAAAATAAAAATCAGTATCACAATTAAACTGACACAGCGAAGAACTCTGGCTGGAGAAGAATTCTTTATTTAAATGTGCAAAGCATGACCACAAATCACAGTTACATATAATCATGTGAAGACAAACAAATTATATAGCCCCAGCCCCTTTCATTTTTTACCCCCTATCTTTTTTATTTCTACAAAAAAGGAAAACAAAAAAGAACAAACGATGCAGTATCCTAATGAAACAGATGTCTTATGTCTTAGAAGCACAAAGGTATTCCTCAATGAATAACATAGAAAAGATGTTAAATTGTTAATCATAATAATATCATTATAAATAAATATACTGGCCATCAGCAGTAGAGTTTGAGTTTAGATCTGATTTTTGGTTTTGGGCATCTGTCTGCCCTCAGGCTACCCAAGCAGAGTCTGTTTCCCGTGCTCAGTGTATTTTTGTTCTTGTGGCTGTTTAGGTGACTGTTTTTGGGTTTTGGTACTTTTGGTACAATTCTGTTATATTGTACCCCGAGAAGAGGAGAGAATAAAGTCAGGCTGTCTATATCTGGGCTACCTACAACCACTATGCTCTGGATACACCTAAACGTGTTTGATAACAGAAGCTAAGCAGAGCTGGTCCTGGCTAGTGTCTGGATAGGAGACCACCTGAGGAACATCTAATAGAGACTGGTACTGTGGCCTGTATCCTGCCTTCACCACCAACACCATTGTCCTTGCGGTATATGTCTGTACTGTTGCCATTAAAGCTTCTCACTACCAACTAACCAGACAGTGTGTCTTGTCTTGCACTGGGGTCCTCCAGTTATTGGTATCTGACAGTACTATATGTCAGATACCAATGCCACTACCCAGGACCCAGCACACACGTTCAGTCTTTCTTGTTCACCCTACTTCGACACTGCCCCTGGTTCAGTCAACGGGGCCACTGATGCCATCGACTCCATTCCTGTACCTGAGCAGGTCAGCACCCACCACCTCTCTTCCTGTTTCTAAGTGGGTCGATGCTGCCTGTACCACGGTGGGTCCATAAGGATGCTAACGCTGCTGTTTCTGAGCAGTGCCACCTCTATCCCTGTGCCCGAGCAGGTCAACACCTCCTCAAGTTCTGTTCCCAGTTGGGTCGATGCTTCCTCCATTACTGCTCTTATGCCTTGGCGGGTCAATGACGACGCCACTGCTCCAGTGCCTGTGTCCCAGTTGGTCACCAGTGACACCACCACTCCTGTGCCTGAGTGATGATACCTCTGCCCCTGCACCCCGTGAGTCGCCTGGGATGCCACTGCTCCTGTTCCAGTGTCCTGGTGGGTTGGCAAGGAGAAAGATGTCACCACCCAGTCTCCAGTCTATTCTCCCAAAAGGTCCCTCCTCATACGTATGTTGGCCACTTGCCTGTCTTTCCAAGGGATCCCACTTCAGACACCTGTCTCTTGCCTGCCTTCTTGAGGGATTCCAGTTCATCCACTGCCCTTGCCAACCACCTGATTGTCTCCAGCCCCTTGGCTGCCCTCCTGGGCAACTGCAGCTCTCTGTCCAGCTCCAAGGCTGTCCTCCTGAGAGGCCTCAGCTTCCCTCCCTGCTCTGAGGCTATCCCGTAAAGTGGCATCGGCTCCATGGAGGACCACCTAAATGGTCTCGTCTTCCTACCCAATACTGTGGTCATCTTCCTGAAGTGACCCCAACTACCTGCCAAGTGGTGAGGCCAGGCTCCTGAATGCTCTCTGCCCACCTCAGAGGCCATCCACCTGAATGGCCCCAGCTTTCTGTTTACCACCAAGGCCAACCACTTGAAAGGCCTCAATTATCTGTCTACTCCTGAGGCTGGGCGGTCTCCTAACCAGAAGATTAGCAGTTAAATTCCCGGCTTGTCCAGTCCACATGTCGAAGTGTCCTTGAGCAAGACACTGAACCCCGAGTTACTCTTGGTGACGTCACCGGTTCATGAATTTGGGAGTGCAAACGGGTGAATGGCAAAATAGTGTGAAAGAGCTTTAAGTGCGCTGCAATGCCTAGAAAAGAATTATACAAGGATAAGACCATTTACCAAGTGTTTATATTAATGTAAATGCAGCAACAACTCTTGTAATAATAACAATAACAATAATAAGCACGTTAATATTACAGCATTCATTCATTTTTATAACATTACAACAGGAATTCTGGGGAGAATGTGACCCCTGGGTTTAAAAGCATCTTGTAATCTGTTTTGGAATGTAAAAGCTAATTTTTTCAAAACTGATGGTGTTGATCACCTTATTGATAAAGTCTTCATTTTGTCTTGATTTTGGTAACAGTTGGCTGAGAGGTCAGAAAGGAGCAAATTCTTAAAAATGTCTAATGTCTGTTGGAATAAAATGCATAATCTGGTCGCTGAGCGCATTACATGCCAAATGTCAAATAAATTGAATGTCTGCATGAACTTTCGGTTGAGTTCTTTTCACTTCTATTTTGAGATACAGTATAATGTCAAATTACAGTCTCCTCCTAAAACTGAAATGGCAAATATTTAAGAAAGTAATATTTAGATCCCTTAGTTTCTCATTTACTTTGAGAAACTAAATACAAGTTTCTGAAATACTGAACCTTGAGAGATTTGGATTGCTCCTCATCACTAAAGTGTTCCTCAGCCGAGTCCAGGTCCTCAACATTTTGCCATTCCACATTAGAACCACTGTGGAAATGCAGACGAGTGCCTGACAACAGAGAGGGACAAATCTTAAATTATGGCACATACATAGACTCTGCTGAGAAAAGCTTAAAGTGGCCATGGCATGCTTGTTTCCAGCTAGCCAAGTTTAATGTTTAAACTTGGGTACCTCTAGATCAGCTTTGCACCCATCATAACAATGCATTAACAGGCATACAACATGTGTTTTTTTCCCACAGAGTAGTGGAAACATCACTCCCTTTCAAGTAGATTCAAGGTCGGTAAATCCAACCGGTGGTCACTGGTCTTCCCCCACACAACCACATACAATCCCAAAGTAGTGAAATTAATTCCAAGAGACAGCGTAGCACCTTAGAATCGGCCTGTTAACCCACATCACATCACATTCGGCAGACACACTGGCCTCAAGAAGTCAAAACAAACAGGTACTGTGCTCCAGGGGAATCCAGCATTGAATCCATGGCATGTTTTGCCTTGTTTTTTTTTTTCTACTTATCTACAGTTTTTATCAACTTAGATGTGTACATATGTTCTAGTATTTCTATGCAGAAGTAACTCTGTTTATACACGTCTTGTAAACTTGTCGCTCGCGAGACTTTTTTTCTAGCAAAGTAAAGTATTACCTTATAGTTTAAGGAGTTTCTTGAATGGTCATAATCTCCAGGCCATTGCATGTTAATGTGAACTTGTCTGACATCCACCCGTATCTCAACCATACTGGCAAAATGTTATATTGCCTTGTTTGTTATATATATTTTCAATAAAGCTTATTTAAAAAAAAAGACATCCACCAGAGCCATTGTAAAAGCAGTTTTTCGACTGTGCCCGGTTTTGTGTATATATTTTACCTCCTGCTGCCTGCACTGTGACCAGAAGATGTGGAGAAAAATACAGGGCCTGACATTACTGCATGTCCAGGAATGTTCAGACTAACTAAATTAAAATATTTTTAAAAAAGACACTGATTCACTCATCTTTTTGACCTTTTTATTTTTTTTTTTTGTGTATGCATGTGTATTTGTGCATGTGTATGTAGCACCTTTGAGAAAACAGTGCCAGGCAGTGGGAGGCCAGGAGAAGCTCCAGCCTATGTCTTCATCATCTGACAGAGATGATCTGGTTGATGCTACAGAGCCACATTCACTGCTCGTCTGTGGAAACAGGAAGGAAACGCATCATTAGGACAAATGCAGACTCTAATAGTATAATGACTGGTGGAAGCAGTGATTTGTTTCTAACCAGCAGATTGTTCTTTAGATTGTGTGTTCACATAACTGACAGTTTTTATTTATTAATTCTAAGCATGTAATAAAACAGAGAGAAAAAGAAAAAAAAAAGAAATCAACATGTAACACAAAACAACCAAACCAATTACCATATACAACCAAAAAAATAGAAATTTCTCTTGATGATGCTTAGTCATTACATGCTTGCAAGGGAGTAGAAAGAAGTAATACTTATCTAGTTCTACCCCTAGTGATCCAAACTATGGTTGACACAACCCAAATATATAACTAAACAACTACACTGGTTAAATTCCCGCAACCACCAAATTACTACATTCCTTCTAATCACAAATCACAATTACATAATTA